GAATCCGCCATCGTCTTCTCGTGGGTTCGATTTTTCGCTCTAAATACAAGTAAGTCCAACAATTATGCAATAAGATAGTCCTCGAAACATAACTTTTCTTCTCATTTTTTCCAATTGGCCCATCTGCGTCTCTTACTTGTATTAACTGACTCGCCAAAACCTTTGGTTCCCACAATTATTTGGCTGATTGGCTCAGGTTTCACTGATGATGAAATTTATGATCGAAATGCTCCGCCCATAAACAGAATGTTTCCGCGTGGTAGAGAAAGGAGGTTGTGAAAATTAAATGCTCTTACCAAAGTACAGACATCCTGGCCTCCTTTAACTTGACATTTTCAGGCAACAACGCGAAGAAATTCGTCAAAAACAGGAGCGCAACGAGGCTCTCCAAAAGCCTCGCTGGCCACCCGGTTTGCCTTCGTCTAGTGCTTCTTGGCGTAGCAGGACTCGTTGTGGCGAAAGTCCCATTAGCCAGGGACGTCGTCGAACTTCTCGGCTCTCGCAGCGGCTTGCTGGTTCTCGCATATCTGCTACCTCGGCGTCGTCAGCCTCCTCCCTCGAGAAGATGGGCCCTCCTGGAGGAGAGTCAGTCTACCGTGCAAGGGCTCGATCCGTACTGTCTGCCGGCTTTCTGACGCCCTGTAAGACAGAAGAGGCAGATCGAAACACAGCCATGACTGTCTGTGGTCAGGAGAGCTGGAATTCGGGTACCGGAGGCCCTTCCATTCTGAGTGGTCTCAGGCCGGGGAGGCGATCCGCAGAGCCGACCTTAAGATCACGACTTTTGCGCCTAAAGCCCGGACTTCAAGTCCTGCTGTCTGGTCGGGAGCCCTTAAATGACACAACTTTTGGCAGGGAGTCGAACGAGGCGACACTAGCGGCCTCTGGCAACGACAGATTACGGGACAGTCAGCGCGCCCAGACGATAGACGAAGATGAGGAGATGGAGCGCGTGGCGATGATGCTACAACGCGACCAGTTGTTACGGACCCGAGGCATTGTCGACATGGTACATCACTTACTTGATGGTACTCCAGGTGTGATGCCTAGTGGAGGGGCTCCGGCTCAACCTGGGCCAATTAAGAGATCGGTGCCAATCGCTCTTGGTCAAGCGGCACCTGGTAGGCCATTTTTATGCGAAATAAACCTATTGGGGAATTTTTATTGCATTTGCTTTCATTTATTTATTTTTATGTAAGATATGCATTATTTGTCCTTGAAGTCTATAAAACAATTTAATTAATTAAAGCAATATGAGATATATTCACCCAATTTCATTTAAGGTGATGAAGGCCTGGTAGTGGCATTTTCCCACAATGATATGAGTAGAGCTGACGTTTCCATTTAATTTCACAGCCCTGCTTTCCCAGAGGTTTTTCTCATCCAGAGTGGACTGCTGTTTCGACCTTGCATCGGTCTTATCAACACCCCCAGGGGCAGTCAAACCATGACAGTGCAGAATGTGAGCTTAACACGTTAACAACTCGGCCACATTGTCATGAGTGCCCTTGGGTCACAGGGCAGATGTGAATTTCAAGGAAGGCCAGGCCTTTTGCTCTATCATATTCTTTGGTGGAATTGTTGATAAAGCAAACGTATATTAACTATAGCAATCGAAACGTCAACTCTACTCATATCATTGTGGGAAAATGCTACTACCAGTCCTTAATCACCTTAAACGAAATAGGGTGAATACATCTTATATTACTGATTTACTGGTAGTCTCCAAACTTTAATAAAATACGAAAAATAAGTAACGTAGTCGATTGTTATAGCAAATATATACTTTTACTTCATTGACAACCTCACCAAAGAATATGATATGGCAAAAGGCCTGGCCGTACTTGAAATTCACATCTGCCCTGTGACCCAAGGTCACTTGTGGCAATGTGGCCAAATGGTTGACGTGTCAAGCTGATATTCGGCACTGTCATGGTTCGACTCCTGCTGGGAGTATTGAGAAGACCGATGCGAGGTCGAAACTGCAGTCCAACCTGGATGAGAACAACTTTTGGGAAAGCAAGGCTATGT